CAACATAGAAGAGCCACCTCCCACACCCATTTTCACACCTTGGCTCATGTGATTAGGTAGAGGATCATCAGGGGGTCCTTTGTCCCTCTGTGGGGGGTTACTCCCACTAGGTTTATATCTGGGACTCCCCACCATTTGACCTTAGAACTGAAGAAGCTTCTCGGATGAGAGGTGAAACGTTTTCAAGCAACTTAAACAAGTCCAGACGCTTTTCTTTGCAAGCTCCTTTGACTACGATGACCTGGATGACTGAGAACCTTCACAGACATTTAGAGTGATGGTATGCTGACTCAGGTCAGCTATCTTAAATCACAGAAGTCATTTCATAATCATTAGCCGTTAAAAGACGAATGTCTTATTCTTAACAAGTAAAGTAGAAAGATAGTCAGTGTCAGTGGCACCCACTGACAAAAAAGTTTCCTAAAAGCAGAGAAGATTGAGAGCGAGCAAGTGAAACAGGAGAGGGAATAGTGAGGGTTGAGCCTTTGCTCTTGGCAAGGTGTAAGTTGATACATGTTGACAGAGAAGAGGCAGAGGCCAGGCACTCCTGAGACAAGCCCCATTTGGCCAGTGTTCAAAAACTTTATTCACTAGTGACTCTAACCTCTGATTCAGACACCTTTTTTACTTTACACCACATACTTCAGTAAAACAACAGTTTAACCTGAAGCGACAAAGTGATTTCAAAGCGCAGTTTGTTCTGTCTTTGTAAGATCAAAGTTCCAGCCAATTATAATATCATTTTGCATGGCTAATCTAGAGAAAATCACCTCTTTCTAAAAGCAAAAGCCAAATCTTCGGCTTATAGAACTCGTGTGTCATAACCTGTTAGTGCCGGTAAGTTTGGCAGCATCACCATGGGGGAGTGGTAGTTTGCGTGAGAGCTCAGCAGTGCCAGCGGAGAGAGAATCATCTTTCGCATACAATAACCTCAGTGTCAAGTCCTCTGGAAAGCTCTGTGATTGGATAAGAGCAAGACAAGCGAGAGGGAAGGAGCAAGAATCGAGAAGGTTTGAAGAAAAACGCAAAGAGGGGCCAAGTCAGGCTAAAGAGACCGAGCAGAGAGCGGGGGAAAATGAAACAAGAGGGGAAAAAATAGAGAGCAGTGATAGCTAAGACCTAACTGCATATGTATGCTTATATTCCAATCCCCCTGTAATGTGATTTAGTAGCATATTGATGTCGCAGAGAATCATTCTTCTCATCTGTCAACGTTTTTGTCTCTCTCCTGATTTCACCTCCTTCATAGTTTTTGATTTGCATAATGTACTGTACGCCTGTGTAGCAATAAATGAGGCCCATTCACTGCTACACTGTCTGTCAGTGCAATTCCTCCCCATTTACTTACAGATGGTAATTTGACACACATGAATTGGAAACAGCTCTTGAATGCCAAAAAGACACTGTATTTTCTCCAAATACACCAACCATTTAAACACACAGGCAATGCTTGTAACCACATTCAAAGGTTAGCATTTC